AAATGAAAACATCTATATGCAACCCCCTCCTGGTTACTTAGCTGATAATGATCATAGAGTTTGTAAACTTCTTAAAAGCCTTTATGGTTTAAAACAAGCTTCTAGGCAATGGTATTTTAAACTTTCTGAATCTCTAATTTTTTTTGGTTATAAACAGTCTCAAGCTGATTTTCCTCTTTTTACTAAAGCTACTAATAATTCCTTTACTGTGATCTTGCTTTATGTTGATGATCTTATCCTTGCGGGAAATGATATGAATGAAATCAATTCTGTCAAATCCTACTTAAATCACAAATTCACCATTAAAGATCTTGGTGAGCTAAAATACATCTTAGGAATAGAGATTGCTAGATCTGAAACTGGACTGGTTTTAAATCAAAGAAAATACACCCTTGATATTCTATCTGACTTTGGTTATCTTACTTCTAAACATTTTTCTACTCGTATGGATTCTAAACAAAAAATTTCAAAAAATGATGGTGCTCTTTTAAGTGATCCTAAAACTTATAGAACATTGATAGGAAGATTACTTTATCTTACTCTAACCAGACCTGATATTGCTTATTCTGTACAAACTCTTAGCCAGTTTCTTTCTTGTCCTACTAATGTTCATATGACTGCTGCACATAGGGTGTTAAGATATCTCAAAAGTTCTCCAGGAAAAGGTCTGTTTTATCCATCTAAATCTTCCTTTCATATTGAGGCTTACACTGATTCTGATTGGGCCTCCTGTATTGATACTAGAAGAAGTGTTTCTGGCTATTGTTTTTACTTGGGTGAATCATTGATTTCTTGGAAATCCAAGAAACAATCTGTTATCAGTAGATCTTCTACTGAAGCAGAATATAGGGATGCTGCAAATGCAGTTTGTGAAGCCCAATGGCTTACTTATATTTTTCAGGATTTAAAAATTCCTATATCTTTACCTATTACTCTTTATACAGATAATAAGTCTACTTATTATCTTGCTCATAATCCTATTCAACATCAAAGAACTAAACATATTGAATTAGATTGTCATTTAGTTAGAGAAAAAATTAATTCATGACTTATTACTCTTAAACACATTCCTAATAGTTGTCAACTTGCAGATATATACACAAAGCCACTTGGGAATCCACTCTTCAATCAATTTGTAGACAAGATGAACCTGTTGGACATCCATGCTCATCTTGAGGAGGCGTCTAAAGAATATTAATCTGCTTATTTTAATTGTTTGTGGGGCCTTTGTGTATTAGCCCATCTTATATCTTCTATTAGATTAGTTTTTAGCCCTTTAGTATAAATACTATTGTAAAACCCTATTCTGGATAATTTTGATTCATTCTGATCTTCTTCATCCTCTCTGCTCTCGATTACAGCTTCCGCATTCTTCATTTTGCTGAACACAAAATTCACAGTTTGTTTTGGGAAATTGACGCCTATTCTCCGGTTATCTTCATCTCTACAACCCACCGCTTGCGTCCAATTCCCACAAATTGAGCCGACACCTTCGTTTTAAGTGTAACCGTCTAGGCGCAACTCTGTACTTTCCTTCCATTCTTTGACTCGATTATTTCCCTAATAAGTTTTTTGTCCATCTAACTATTTGTAGTAATATATATGTAAAAACCTCTAAATAAAGTTCTCACTTTTTTTGATAAATATCTAATATAGGGATATCACTATTGTTATTAAAGGGGAGAGAAATCGTATTATGGATTTTTGAACCATTACATCTGTCTAAGAGGCCGCTATTTATACTGGTTATAAATGCTAAGTACATTAAATGCACATACACGTATAACCTCGTTTATGGCAGAGAGCACTAAGGATGTTTTTACTTGGACTGTAATTTGCTGGTCTGGTCTGGTCTGATCTGGTCTGGTCTGGTCTGAACTGGTCTGGTCTGGTCTGAACTGGTCTGGTCTGGTCTGGTCTGGTCTAGTCTGGTCTGGTTTCTTTGTATTTTTATAACTATCCAAGTCTGGTCTGGTCTGAACTGGTCTGGTCTGGTCTGATCTGGTCTGGTCTGGTCTGGTCTGGGACGAATTACAGTCCAAGTAAAAACATCCTAATGTGGCATCAATGTGGGCACGTGGTGAAGCATTAAATGCGGTGGCTGAGTGTTGTGAAGCGCCCATCCGAAAGTGCTCTAAGTCAAGGCTAGGGACTTCACTCTCAAAACCGAGGGCTTAATAACGAGGGCTCACCCTGAGGCGGGAATGTCATAGTCCGCATGCATTGGGATGGTCTTTCTGTGAGAGGATGTCTTTTCGATGCCGTCGGGCTTGGGCCCGAGGGGTGTACAGTTGCTACTTTGGGGCACTTGGAGTAATTGGGCTTGTTGAGGTGCCAAGAGTATGTGCACCGGGGGGTCCTGCAGGGACATCATTTATTATGACAAGTTTTTCTATATATAAATTTACCCTTATATACTCTTACTTTATTTACCTACTTTTCACTCACTTTCTCTTTTCCACTGCACGTAATCTACTATTGTAAGGGTATGATGGGAGTCAAAGGTCAAATTTCAACTTTCTTAAAAAAACGTAAAGTCAAAATATGAACTTTATTTAGGATCATAGTGGGTGTTAAAATAAAATTTGTGGACATAATGTGACTAAGGCGATTAGGAAAATCTTTGTTATTGCTATTACATGTATAATTTGAACATAGTTATATTTAGAAATAGTTATTAAAATCACGCTTTTATTTACTATCTGTACTTCAATTAAGTTCAATTTTGCTGAAGGTACATTATATAAACCAATGAAATTTACCATTTTCTTACCCCTATGTCCGTCTTCTTTGGTCCATACGATTTTGATCTCCTACAATCTTCCATCTTCCATCTTGTTTTCCTCTTTTTCTTTAATCATCATCTTCCATGTTTGTTATCTCTCATCTTCACCATTTTCATCTTATTCATCTTGATTCTTCATCATATTTCATCTTCATCACCTTCCATCTTTACATCATCTTCCATTTTACCTACTTCATCATCGCCAAAGTTAGAGAGTCCCCTAGAAATATCACCGGAAAAAATAAATGAAGTTTGAGAGTTGCTGGAAAATCATCGAAAACCCATTGATGAACATCCGCCAGAATACATTTTGTATTATATATAAAATGTTATCTGGGTCATACTAAATATTGATATAATCAATCTGTAAGGAAATATGGAACTAAAAAACTAGTAACATTTTCTAAAATATAATTGTGCCATATGAAAATAATGTTTGTATACACTCTCTAGTTTTGCATGTCATGTCAATCACATCGATTTGGTGGATGCACACAGACATAAGTTGTTTGTATACAAAAACAAAAATGTTACACACAGACAAAAAATGTGCAAGCACAAACTTTTTTGTCTGGACACAAATAACTAATGTTTATATACAAACATTGTTTTGCATGTAAATCACATTGATTTGTATTCTATTTTTTTGCAGAAACGTCAAACTTAATTTCTCTCTATACACAAACAAAAATGTTACACGCAGATACAAAATGTATGAGTACAAATATTTTTTGTCTTGTCTGACAATACAGACAACTAATATTCGTATACATACATTAATTTGAGCATAAGTCACATTGCGCATAAGTTAGAGTTGGGTTGCATGGAAACCACTTTTTGTATATAGATAAAAATGTGTATGTATATATACACCTTTTGTGTGTGCACACAAATATTGGTTTCGTGCAACCTAACTGATAGAGTATAGTCTCTTTTTTGAAATGAGAGCTGAGAGAGTATTTATTGAGAAAATGTGAGTTGAGTTTCTAGGTCTTGTGCCTGGGAGACTCGATTACAATGATCGGTCGTTAATAGGCTGTTTACATGTGTTTATTCCTCTAAGTACAAAGTAAAGCCAAATGACGATGGTCCTAACTGAGGTGGCCAGGCCAAGAGAACTTAGGCGAGGGGGACATGCCAAGGGGTCTAGGCCGAGGTGACATGTTCTTGATGAATTCAGACCTGTGTATGGAGTTCTTCATCTGGAGAGCTCTCTGTGTATGTGGGTGGGCCTCCTCTGGCTGTGGGGGTCCAACAGAGGAGTACTTCAATGTTGTAGTCTATTTTGTGTATTCCTGAGTATGTGGGTCGTGGAAAAAAACTAGTGTATATAAATACACTAGCCTTGACTTGTCTTGACTTATCTACAATTTTTTTGTATATAGATAGTGAAAGAAAACTAGTGTATATAAACAAACATTTTTTTTGTGGCCAAATTTTACAAAATGTTAAAAGTTTTCAAATTTATTTTTCCCTACATACACATTATATCATCATTTAACATGACACATATAATATTTTATATACCACACGCAAAAATTTCGGCTTGCATTCAAATTCAAATGTAATTTTTCCGCGACTCGATTTTTCAAGTGACTCTCAATTCTTTTTTCTTTGGTGCAAAGATATAACTAAAAATGAAGATAATGGTGAATATGAAGTATCAACATAAGGTAAAAAGCAAGAAAATGAAGGAAGTAAGAAAAAAGAAGAACAAGAAAGGAAAAAAAGGATGGTTCCTACGATTGAGACTTGAGAGAGGGTGAGAAAGAGTAAAAAGATTGGAGATGGTGTACCTCTGACAAAATTAGTTTTGGTTATACTCCCTCTGTTCTTTAATTATTTGGATACTGTCTCGTATTCCTTTTTGGGACGTTTTCAATTATTTGTGTTTCTTTCCCTTTTTGGTAAGTTTTTTCAATCAAAACTACTTTTATATCCCACTTTTATTATCATTACCCCTTTCTCTTTCCTACTTTTTCATTTACCCACAACTCACTACACCTTTTACATCACACATATTATTTTCCTCTTAAAACCCGTGTCAAAGCTTAAGAGGACATATAATAAAGAACGGAGGGAGTATATTATTTATTAATTAGTTTTTTTGTAAATAAAAAATACTCTAAGACAGCTAATAACAAAAAAAGTTTAGCACAATTTAAATGCATCGAGGGAACAGTACACTTGTAACTGCCCATATTTTGGTATGCATTGTATATTTGTCATCCCAAACTCCCCCTATCAGATACACTTGTGAACACCAGAGTCCACACTAAACAGACACACACTCTCTCTCGTACGCATCCATACACAGGGATGATCTCACAGGCTTTCACTGATTTAGCCAAACACAATTAGTCCTCTCTCTCTATCTTCCCCCCTCTCTGTAAACACACCAAGCCCAACGCCCCAACCCCAACCCCCTCTTCTATTCACCATTTCCCAACCAACCCGTCCAACCACTTCCTCTCATGCATTCATGATTTGGGTCTCCGGAGCCCATTCATCTCTGGGGGCGGCGCCGGCGGGTAAAAGATTCAATCTTGCTTCCAATTCAGACAAGTTCAGCTCAAATTGCAGTAATGGGTTGCTTGGTTTCTCAGCTGGCGTCGAAGTTCGCCTTCTTTCCGCCCTCTCCGGCGACCTACCAGGTCAAGAAGCGCGGAGATGGGCACCTCGTCGCCGTCTCCACCGCGTCTTCCATACCCATCGCCGGCGACGCCGACGACCCCTCTATTGATGTCCTCCGGCTCCAAACGAAAAGAGGAAACAAGATTGTAGCTTTTTACCTCAAGAACCCGTACGCTAGGCTCACTCTGTTGTACTCTCACGGCAATGCGGCTGATCTCGGCCAGCTTTATGACTTGTTTCTTCAGCTTAAAGCTAACCTCAGAGTCAACCTCATGGGGTATGTTTTCCCTTGGCCATCTTTCTTGAGCTCGGATAGAAACAAAAGGGAAAAAATCAAATCTTTTTCCTTTTTTATTCCTTACTGGGCCAGTGTATGTTTATTAGCTGTATTTAGAAATGGTCTTTGCGCAGCTATTCATCTTTTCCCTTGTTTAATTGTTTGGAGTAAATTTATTTACTCCCTATTAATTTGGTGAAGTGTTTGCTTGGATATGGTGAATTTCTTCTCCTTCCTCTATTTATTTACTTTTATTACATGTTTAAATAGATTTCTCTAATTCTTGCGGCAAATAGTCTTCTGTCTTTAGAGTTTAGCATTCCCCACTTGCCCCTTTCCCATGGGCAAAGTTGAGGAATAAAATTTTTCTTTATAAGTAATTATATACTTTACTTATTCACTGTAAAACTACCTTTTTTATGGATCTTGGATCTGGAATATTTAGCTTGATCTGATCTTTTATAATGGGTTTCCTGCAATGGGGATTGTTTTTTTTTAGAAATTCCCGTGGGTTTCGTGTGATAGAGTTATTCCTATGGTTTTTACAGTCTTTTTCAACAATTTTCACGTTTTCCAATTTATTTGTCTTGTAATGGTAAATTGGTATTCACTGGGTGACAGACACCTACAGAACCGATGGTGAAACACGAAACATGATTGTGTGGTGCGTTTGGATCGAGACATTTCTCAATTTTCTCTGTTTGACCAATGCACTAATTCCCACTGATTAATTGAAACCACACTTTTAGCCGCTAATTTTTTTAATTAACAAATAGAAATAAAATCTGAACCATCCATCTTTGGATCTGACACTGTTCCTGGGCTGAACTTAATGCTTTGAAGTATGAATTGATTGTGCCGCTTTATGCAGCATGGGCTGGCTGAGTGCACTATTCAATTTATTTGGAATTTACCAAAATTATGTCAATCAAGAAATCCATTCAATCTCTCTTAAGAAATTGTCCAGTTTTGGATTCCGTTCTTTAGTTTATTTGTGCATTATTTTTGCCCTGATAGGCTAACTCAAATGCAAATATTTTCTGAATATAAATATTTACTGCTCTAGTTTCAATTAATATATGCAGATATGACTATTCTGGCTATGGAGCTTCCTCAGGGAAGGTATATACTGCGGAGTAATAACTTAGGGAATATTGTTCTTTGTGTCCCTTGATTGTTCTTAATCATTGAGTGTAGTCTCTCATTGTGTGCATTATTTCAATTGAAATGTGAGGTCTGCACCTAGTACTTACAAGAGAGCTCCTTGCCGAGCAAGGTTGCCCCGAACCCTGAACATAAATGTCAGCATTTGAACCCGGGTTTACACTTTTTTTCACACCAGATTGACCAGTTTAACTATATCAACCAGCATTGTTATCGAGAGGATGAAACAAAAGGACACTCTTCTCCAAATATGAAAAAAGGAAAAAAGACAGTCATGCTACTGTTACCATTAGGGTGTGAGTTTAAATGACTACTTTATAAATAATAAGTTAAGTTGTTGACAACGAGGAGACTACATTTCAAAATCAGGAACCATTGAGGGACTGAAACAACGATTTTCCTAAAATGAATGTTTTTTATGTTTCTGTATAATCTGTAAGTGGAAATTCTCATAATGCTTTTTGTATGACTCAGCCAACTGAGTTTGATACATATGCTGATATTGAGGCAGTATATGAGTGTCTTGAAACTCAGTATGGAGTTAGCCAGGAAGATTTGATTTTGTACGGACAGTCCGTTGGAAGCGGGCCCACATTGCACTTGGCTGCTCGATTGCCGAGGTTGAGAGGTGTTGTTCTGCATAGTGGCATTCTCTCTGGTCTTCGTGTGCTTTGTCATGTGAAGTTCACATTTTGTTTTGACATTTATAAGGTAAGTTTGATTGGGCCTAGATTTAAACATTTAAGGTGTTTTGTTTGTTGTTTCATGCCTTTTAAATAGGTATAGTAATGTTGAGAATTTCCAGAAATTGTGTATTTTGAGGGGAAAAACACATTTATGTGCTTATTGCTGCAAGTATGGAACACTAACTGACAGTCATATGGACATGCAGAATGTAAACAAGATTCAAAAGGTCAAATCTCCGGTGCTTGTAATACATGTAAGTTCTTCTTAACATCTTCCCATTTGAACTTGAAAATTTCCAACCAAATGCAGTTGAAATCTAAAGTCTCATTTCTTAGTTCACCTCATCAAGGGATTGCAGATAGACTATCTTCTTCATGTACTAGGACAGTAGAGATTTTTGAAGTACTATTTGGAAAGTTAGAGCAGGATTTTGCCCACTATTTATCCAGTTGTCTGTTTCGAAGTTCTACTCCGGGTGCCCTCGAGTTTCTGTTACAAAATCCAGACCCAGTGGCCTGTGGCCCATTTAACTCGATTTCCTGTCGGGCCCAATAAACCCTGATTTTTCCCCACCTAGGTGTAGAGGTTTTTAATCGCCCGCTTAAGCCTTGAGTGATCTCAATTAAACCCGTGTAGACCCATCGATCACCTAGTGAGCGCTTGGCACTTTTTTACATCATCACTATCATGTGGAATATACAGGGAGAACTATCAAATAAGCTCTCGAACTTTCATAAAAAGTGCAAATAAGCACTTTTTCAGGAGGCTTTGTTCGGCTATCCCCATACCAAATTTCAGCTAAAATTTCAATAAAGAAGGCAGTCAGATGATTTTCTGAAATATACTGCGCTGTCTAATTGCGCACTTATATTCAAAAATTCATTTGAATGCTTTCCGGATTGAATTTTTAGCTGAAATTTGGTATGAGTAAACTAGACTTAATGAAGAAAATGCTCAAAAAATGTCATCAAACAATTCTACCGGAAACCGCTCCAAATGGCGACAGCCGGGCAAAGCCTCTTGAAAAAGGGCTCATTTGCACTTTTTATGAAAGTTCGAGGGCTTATTTGATAGTTCTCCCGAATATATATTTCAACAGTTGGTACAATTTTTTTCTTGAGTTAACAGTGTTTTGATTCGTCGTGAAAAAAAAAAATGGTTCAGGGAACAGAAGATGAGGTTGTGAACTGGCTGCATGGGGACATTCTATGGAAAATGGCAAGGGACCCGTACGAGCCGTTGTGGATAAAAGGCGGAGGGCATTGCAACTTAGAGCTTTACCCTGACTACATTAGACACCTTTGCCACTTTGTCCAAGCAATGGAGAACATGGACACAAAGGCTCAACTCCAAAAGATTCGGCCCACACTCCTCCCTCCGCCGAAGAAGAGATCAAACACTCTCCCTCCTTGCTGCTGCTTTGAACGGCGCAAGCCCAAATGCCTGAAATGCTCTTGTTGGCCCACATGTGGGGAATGCCACCAGAAATGCTCTTGCTGGCCTAAGTCGATGGAATGCGCAAAAGGTTCTTGTTGCCCGAAATTATCAAAATGCTCTTGTTGGCCCATATGCGTCGCAAAAGGCTCGTGCTTCCCGGAATCATCAAAATGCTCTTGTGGGTCCAAATGCATGGACCACACAAAATGCTCTTGCTGCCCGAGATGGAAACCGAATTGCCCGAAGAGCGAGTGTTTCGAACCGGGATGCATGAGATGCTGGTGTTGGTGCTCACAATTCTCGTGCAGGCGCCCGAAATGTTGGTGTTGGTGATAGGGGATGGAGGAGGGTCTTATAGAGACTTACAAAGTTGTATAGCAGAGTGTAGCCAGTATCCCTTTAATGTATGCAATAATCTTAGATTCTTAGCCCTCAGATGAAATTATTGTTAGGTAATTCCCTTAGGCGACTGCCTTCCAGCTTCTTCATATATATAATGATAAAATATAATTGTGATTTAGATCATCTAAACACTTGACAAAGTACTTGACTTTGTAGTCGCGTCTGTAATTAAACTAATTGTGAGTTCATTGGTTGATTCATTTAACGCCTGAAACCGCAGCCCAATTGCTACGACTAAGTGAGAGCTGCCAAAATAGTGAAAAAGGAGAAAAATTAATGCTCTCGTTGAGAGTCGAACTCAAGACCTCCCGCTTACTAAACGGGTGCTCTAACCAACTGAGCTACGAGAGCTTGTTGTCCTCTAAATGTTAAGAACGACTTTATTCTTCCATCTTTAGCACAACATTTGGAATCCTGGATTCCTGGTACGACACGAAAAGTTACGAGGTAGGGTTATTAAAAACGCTAGTTACAACTCAATATTTATATTTTCATCCAATTAAAGTGGTAGACATATTTGGAAATTCCAAACATTAGTAATACTCCATCCGTTCTTCAATAGATGGCTCTATAGCATTTGGCACAAGTATTAAGATAAAATTAATAGTGGTAAGATAAAATGTGTAGTTAGTTGTGTTTAAGTGAAAAAGTAGGAAATGGAATGAAAAGTAGGATAGAGAATGAGAGTATATAGGTTATGTATTGAAAAAACTTTCTAAAAATGGAAAGGGGAACAAATATTGGAGAACAGAGTATAATACAAGTTGTTTTTCTATTTAATACTCCGTATGCCTATTTTGGTTTACAATGTTTGACTCTAATAAAATTCAACATTTTATTGAGTCCCGATAACATTTAAATTAAATTAAATACTTAAATCATAAATATTTAAAAATCACATAAAATTGTTTAATTGCAAAAAGTATGGATATGATGCGAGCTTTGACACACTAGGGGGTTTGGAACAGATTCTGCTTCTGTTTTTTTTTAAAAGTAGCCGATCTAAACACTAGAATAAGAATCAGTTTTCAGAAGCTGGTCTCCCCTAGCTTCTAAAACACTGATTCTAAGAGAAAATTAGAGCATCAGAAGTACTTCTGCACTTTCATCCAAACACTCCAAATTCTGTTTTATCTGTTCCCTGAAGGAGCAGAACTAGTTTCAAGCAACAGATCCAAATACCCCTAAAATTAGTTATGAAAAATTAGCCCTAATGTGAGTAGCTAGATCCTAGTTACCATGAACCTAAACAACCAAGAGTTATTAGTCTCGTATAAATGCAAGCGATATAGTCCCCCAATTTATGATTCTATTTGTCGTATGATTGAATATCACTTCTTTTCTACTCTTTTAAGATGTTTTACTTGGACTGAAATTTGATGATTTGGTTTGATCTGTTTAAATCTGTTCTGGTCTGAATTAGTCTGGTGTGGTAAATCTTTGTTCCATGCGTTTTCTATAATTACAGAAGTTTGATCTGATCTTGTCTGGTTTTGTCTGTTTAAGGCTGGTCTAATCTGGTCTGGGACTGAAAATAGTCCAAGTAAAAACATCCTTATTTCATTTAATTCCAACCTCTTCAAATAAAGTGATCACTTTTTTATTTGGATTGAAATTTTCTGGTCTGGTCTTAGATGTTTGATCTTTGTCTATTTTGTAACTTTTGAGGTCTGATCTGGTATGGTCAGCCAGATAAACAAGTCTAACTAAAAATATCCTATAATATTGATAATTACTGAATTTGAAACTCTACTACCTTTGAAAACTGTTTACTCCGCAGTAAACATTCTTTAATTAGGAATGAGCATATATGAAAATAGGTACAGGAACATATATCGGAATGTAAATTATAGTTTGCCATAATGCAATTGTGTACTTACGAATTATTATTATATATACACATCTTATCGACAGCAAGTTTACCGACATAATGGTACCATCGACTTATATATAATAATAATATAGTGATTACGGAGTGACAAAAATTGAAAATGTTGTGTATGCAAATATATATAGACACACGCATGCGAATAAGTATGCCCATGTGAAAGAGTATATATGTTTGTGTGCTACAAGACAATTATATACAAAGACAAAGAATTTGCCTTAAAGTATCCATAAATACATTTCCAATTTCAAAATAAATGGAAGTATCACATTTTTTGTTTGACTTCACACATATTAAGAAAATAAATTTGACTTTACTGTGGTGTGCACTGTTTTGCACTGCTCAAACACTGTTTGGACACTGTTTGACATTGTTTTGCACTATTTGACACTGTTTTGATGTGGATAATTTGCTAAATAAGGAAAGTAAGGTAGTGTGAACTTAATTTAGGAACCGTCCAAAAAGAAAAGTGATAACTTAATTGCGAGACGGAGGGAGTACTATATTGGATTGAATTTATGATCGATCTAATGACTCTAAATATGCCAACAACGCAACAAATTTGATAAAAACATGGTGGCACACTAGCAATTAGTTAAGTAGAGAATATCCCATATTTCAAAAAGTGCATCGATTGTGCGCAATAGTCCGTGGCGGCTCTGGGGGAAGTTACCCTAGGCAACATTCCTAGGGCCACCTCTAAATGAAATGCTCTCATTATTTGTATTTTTATATATATAAATATTAAGTAAATAAATAAATAGTTAATTAAAAATAGATAAATAAATAAATAAATAAATAGTAATGAAATTAATAATGAAATAAATGAATATTAATATGTACTATAGTTTTTTTGGAGGAATTTGGCTTAAATTGAAATCTCAACATTTAGATGATGGGTAATCCGACAAATAAAATTCTGACAACTGATGTCTCGCGAACCAGACTCAGAGTTAATCACCTCAACAGAAGCAATATAACTCGTCGATCCATTAATGGGCACAAATGAGCCAAAAATGGTTACCCCAATTCCGATGTCACTCACATCCAAATCCAATGTCTTACAAACAGGAAAAACAACAGCTAAACAAAATAAAAAACAATCGGAAAAATTTGAGCAGTAATAAAAGCTAAAATAAAAAATAATATGTTGCCTCCCGATCTGCTTGCTCTGCACCCTCATCAAGATTCCTTGCTTCTCATTCTGAATTCTCTTAGGCGGGTCTAGTGCTCGAAGTCCGCATCCTCCCCGTTTTTTGTCCCATCTAGTGCCATATTATCCCTCCCTTGCAGTTCATCTCCCTGCGTCTCTCATAGCCTCATGCGCTTCTGTTCTCCTATTGCTTCTTCCTTATTCTCACCTCCTGCGCCATTTGTTATACTCTGTTCTGACTATGCCCCCGATTCTTTTCTCCCGTCTCTCATCCTATCCTCTGATTTAGCCCCCTCCTCGTACCTATGGTCCCTGCCAGAGCTGGATGAACCCTCCAGTAACCATTGGTTTCCTCCTGTAGGACTCATCTTCCCTCCACTACCTGCTCTAAGATGAACTGCAAACTCTTTTATGGATAGTGTACCTGGGGGGTTGCTTATCCGAGAGGTTATTTCGGGGAATAACTAGAGAGAAGTCAAAGCAATAAGCAAGAGAGAGTAAGTATTCAATATATGAATTGTTGTGTCTTACAATGGAAAAATAGGCTGCTATTTATAGTAGTGATAAATGCTAGGCAGGGACATGTGTCGAACATCTGACGGCCGAGGGTCACCTCAATCGGGGTGGCACCGGCATTCGCATGTGGCCGCATTAAATGCGGTGGTTGGATGTGACGTTTGTACTTGGCACGGTGATCCAACGCATGTGGAGAGGAGATTCTGTCGAGGAAGACGCCTTCGGCTGTACCTACGGTGTCAAAGGCTCCATGGGCCGGGGGCCTCTATGTGCCGAGGGCTGTAGGTGCCGAAGGCTTGGTTTTCAGCCTTGTTCTCCTGTGATGTTCCTGGGTTCGATTCTGTCAACGATAGCCTTCGGTCATGGGGCCGAAGGCACCCCCTTGCGTGTTGTGGGCTGCTTAGAGCTTGATTTTGCTAGGCTTGGCCCGCTTTGGGTCTGTTGGGCCTGATTGCAGTAGTGGGAGTACGTGGGGCGGGGGTCCCCGGACCATATATTCCATCACTTTTTCTCTAAAACTAGATCTTCTTCGTAGTTCAAGTGACAGAATTTGTCTGAGTGTCCAATTAATCCACCAAAAAAAACAGAAGTTTGGCAACTTCTCATATTTAAAATCTACCTAGTAACTTTTGCCATCTTTCTTCATATTGTACCTCTTTTCAGTACTTTCTCCACATTCATACAAACTCGTATTCTCATATAGGCCTCCCACTTATCACTATTATGATTATCATCGTATTTTATAAACTTTCCTATAAGATTTCTAACTCTCCGGGTCGTAGCTAAATTAACCAGACTATAAGGCACATTATGAACCTGAACCCAGAAGTCTGCCTCATTTAGGACAATTTTGTGAGGGATATCATCAGGTTTAACCTCTTTTAATAGCAATAAATTTCTCTCAAATTGCCATGGTCCTCCATCCAGAACACGATTCATATGTAAACGGTGATAAAAAGTAAAGAGATACCTTTTCTCCCCTACTTCTTTAACTAATAGGCCTTTATCCGGTCTCCATAGCGACGCTAACATTTCCTTGATCGTTGGGAATCGGACCTTTCGGTCCGTCAGCAGAACCCCGACCACTGGGAAGCCCGACCTACTCTCCTCCTTCGGCTCCTCGCCCGCCTCCGTATCGTCGACGTCCAGGTCTTCCTCCTCATCTGCCAAAACATCGTGTCTGTACTTGTTCACCACGCTTTCCATGCAGGCGACCCTTCTCCCTCTTTCTCTCGGTAAAATCGTTGGCCGATTTTACTCCCAATGCGATGCAGTCCAACGAACCTACCCTTCCTGACTAACTGACTTCCAAAGCTTTGCTCGCAATAACCGTCCAAACCGACTCGAAGGATGTAACATAAATCCCAAAAAAGTAGAGCAACGACGCTTCGAGAAACGAAGCTCGTAAATGAAATCTCGCTTCACACGGCATCCCGGCGCAAGCCTAGTGAGAAGCCGGCGGCGGCTGTATGACCTAGGCGTTACCGGTGGTAACCCTAGAGAGAGATTCTTTTGGTTTCTCCAATTCTTAGGACAATATGTACTACAGCTTTGAACCACTCGAGTTTGTTAACTTTATTTTTTATTTAGTTCAAAAATAATTGAATAACCTTTTTATTGTAAAGGTTTTGTAATGTT